AGGGTTAGTAGGGAGATACCGAAGTAGGCAAATGCTGCATTGGCCGTATTCTTGGATACTGAAATGAAAAAAAAATAATGTATGCCCAAACAAGAATGAAAACTGTAGCAGAAATCTCGCAAGATGAGCCTTTCATCTGACACTAGCAACTAGTAACAGTGAAAACGATCATAACTCTTGTACGTGTAGCACCCCCTTGTGCGGCTTCTCTACGAGAATGAGGACTAACGAGGCTTCTAAATGGAGAATCCGCGAAAAGGACCGCTTAAGCGATTACACCAGTTCTGCACTTTGAAGTCTACTGGGTTGATTCGTATCTAGCCCTTTTGCTGACACTGCGAGTTACTTTCTCGAAACGCTCAACGGGCGGGGTCAAGTGTTTGAGTCCTACGGAACTTTACGCGAATTCTCGAGCTCCTCGGTAATTGGAATGGTACTACATCTCGTTTCGCGGTTTTCCATTTCGCTAACGGCGTTGCGTATCAACAGTGCGTAAGAAAGAGCTAAGTAATACTTTGCGTCAGCGCTTTGAGCGTGCGCTATTCAGCGACTAGGAAAGTATAGGTATCGATCCAGCGTACATCAGCCTACGCTGAAACACTGGATCGATAGCTATACTGTCTTAATCGCCCGAAGCACGCAAAGTATGGACGCAATCAAACTGAGCCTTTCGCCACGTCACGCGCCGTTTATCAGTTACTGCAGTCAGACGTTCAAAAATATTCGTCATTCTACCACCGCGGCCCTGCACCGTTTTTCACCTATTTCAACAGCATATCATCTGGGACCTAACCAGACTAAAAAAACCTGAATTTTCGATTTTTCTTCGAAAGGGACTAGCCCCGGTTGCTTCGGACCTGATGCGACAAGGCTGTGTGTCATCCTTCCTGGATGGAAAGCAGAGTGAGAGGGCGAAGCGAAAAAGCTCTGCTGGGACAGGTCAAGCTGACACCGGTGAGGAAGCGTAACCGAGCAGGCATAATGTGGATCGGTTTTGCTCGAGAGAGGCCTTTTCCAAGACCCTACTCCCAACCCCTATAATATTAACGATTCTCACTTGGACGCAGCTCTCTTGGCACAACAAGATGCCTCTATAAGAATCATTTAAGCTCATGGACTTGACTGAATTAACAAAAAACTGAT